AGACCCTATTGCCAAATAAGGTCACATTCAGAGGTTCCTGATGGATGTGAATTTTACAGGGGACTAAGAGGGCCCAGTATTCAACCCAGTACAAATGATTGGTTATTGCATTGATTCTATAGATCAATTTGGGGAGCACTGACATCTTAATTTTCATTGGAAGGACTGATGCTGAAGCTCCAATACTTTGGCCACCTGATGCAAAGAGCCAACTCATTAGAAAAGACCCTAATGCTGGGAAAGATTGAGGGCAGGAGGAGAAGGGGGTGACAGAGGATGAGGTGGTTGGATAGCATCACAAACTCAATGGACATGAATTTGAGCAAGCTCCAGGAGATCATGAAGGACAGGGGAGCCTGCCGTGCTATAGTTCGTGGGTTTGCAGAGAGCTGGACATGACTTAGGGAGTGACCAACAACAACAACATCTAAATAATATTGAATTGTCTGACCTATAAATACAGTATATGTATCTATCTGTATATTTTTATGAAGATCTCTATTTTTGCCATGATTTGTTATGTTTAGTGTACAGGCATTTCACATCATTTGTTGTGTTTATCCCTAAGTATTTCATGCTTTTAGTGCCACTGTAAATAGTATTTTAAAATTTTCAGTTTCTGGGTTTTTATACTGTTAAATATAAATATAACTGATTTTTATGTGTTGACACTAACATGCAAAGTGTTGCCTGCAATCTTGTTAAACTCAGTATTAGAGCCTTAGCCTTTTTGTAGAGGTCATTGGATTTTCTATATAGGCGATCATATCTTCTGTGAATAAAGATAGTATCAGTTCTTCCTTCATAATCTGCATGCTCTTTAATGTGAATTAGGTCAAATTGGGTCATAGTGTTGCCTATATCTTCTATAACCTTATTTATTTTCTGTTTGTTCTACTATTGAAAGTGGACTATTGAAAGTTCCTCTGCAAAATTATGCATTTTTCTATTTCATTTTGTTGTTTTCTTGGCTCTTGCTTCATAAATTTTGAAACTATAATTGAATGCACAAATGGTTAGGAATTGGCTTCTTTTTATTTCAGGAAATAATCTTCTTTATTCCTGATTATACTCTTTGATTTGAAATCTACTTTGTTTGTCGTTAAATGTAACTATTCCAGCTTTCTTTTTGTTAGGTTAGTGTGTTTATCTTTTTCTCTCCTTTTACTTTTAATCTATTTGTGTGTACGTATTTGAAGTTAGTTTCCTGTAGACAGTATCCAGTTGTCTTGATTCTTTAAATTCAGTCTGACAGTCTCTGTCTTTCATTATATTATTTAGAGCATTTTCATTCAAGGTTATTGTTCATATGGTGAAGTAAAATCTAGCACCTTGATCATTTTTTGTCCTGTTTTAGCCCTTCTGCTTCATTTATCTGCCTTATTTTGAATTAATTTATCATTTTTATTATTCTCTTATTTCTTTTGTTTATTAGCTATACTTAACTATTTTGTTATTTTAGTGGTTGCTTTAGGACATACATAAGTTGTAACAGTCTACCTTCAAACAGTAGTATACTATTTAGGGTATAGTATAAAAACCTCACAATAGTATATTTATATTTCTTCCTTTCTGATTTTTGTGCTATTTTGTCATCGAGTTTACTTTTTAATGTGAATTAATTTCACATTACTTTGTTATTATTTTTGTTTAAGCAATTACTTTTTAAGAAGATTTAAATAATAGCCAAAGTCATTATATACTTACCCACGTACTCCTATTCCTGATCCTCTTCATTTCTTTATGTGGATCTGTATTTCTATCTGGTATCATTTCCTCTGCCTAAAAAATGTTCCTTCATGCTAATTCTAATGCAGATCTGATGGTGATAAATTCTTTCTGCTTTTGCATGCCTGAAAAAACTCTTCATCTCATTTCTGTGTTTTAAAAATATTTTCAAGAGGCACAAAATTCTAGCTTCTTCCTCTTAGTACTTCAAAAATATTGATTCACTATCTTTTTGCTTTCATTATTTCTGATGATAAATCTACTATTGCTTTTATGTCATTCCTTGTAAGTGACATGGCTTTTTTTCTGGCCACTTTTAAGAATTTCTCTTTAACACTAGTGTTGAGAAATTAGTTATGATGGGCTCAGATATACTCCATGTGTCTCTCATCCTCTTTGGCTGGCGGCTGCACAAAACTTGTACTTTTCATGAATGGCAGGAATCCGAAAAAAGCAAGTCAACCGTTCAAGCACATTTCAATCCTTTGCTTGCATTATGTTCCCTAACATCCCTTGGCCAAAGCATGACACATGGTCACCCCCAAGTGACAGGATAAGGAAGTAAACTCCATCTATCATGAGGTCAAGGCAAAGCTCAGCATAAGGATTATGCTCAAATTGTACACCTATATTGGAAGAAGTCCAGTACCTTAATTGTAAACTTAACATGTCCCCAGCAAAAGCTGCTTCATGAAATATAGCACAGAAGATGATTATCATTGGTAGTATTGGGTATCTTCCCTCACTGTGGTCTCCACACCTAATCTCCTTTCTTAGATGCACATCCCAGGTCACCTCTTCCAGACTTTCAATGGTAAAACAGTAGTTGACATCAAGCTCCCAAAAAGCTTTAAGAATGTTGGGACCTCATCAGATCTACTCCAGGGGTGATGCAGGTGTAAGGAATGAGAAAAGAGTAATTCTCTTCTGTTATGTTAGGGGAAATTACATGTCACTGTGTTTTGACGTGTAGTGACAGCACTGAGTACTTCAGTGCTCTTTTTTAAAGGGATACTGCCTAAACAGGCACCCTTTTTTCACTCTTTTTGTAGCTCTATTAAATTACTATTTGATATGAGTGTCTTAAGAGATACATCTCAAGATGAAGGAAGCAAAACCAAATAGAAATCAAGCCCAAAGTAGCCAGTTACACCTTTTGAAGGCAGCCAAACTGGTATAGTGGATATTTAATGGCAGTAATTTTACACAGATCGACATTGTTACTAAAAGCAGTTAGTAACAATATGGCTTCCATTTCCATTTTGAATATTTTCAAAATACTATGTTTAGTGTATTTCTTGTATTTGTTGTTCATGGTAGTCTTTTTAGGTGTTATTACTCTCATTTTGTGCATGAAGAAATGGAGGCTCAAAGAAGCTGAATTAACTGCCCAGCAAGAGTAGCAAGTGGCAAAGTTGGGGTGCAAACCCAGATTTATTTCAAAGTCAAAGCATATCTCAGTATAGTCTAATGTTTTTTTCTTAACCCTTGATCTCTAAATTCCCATTTGAGCTTCCTTAAGGGGGTCTGTTTGTCTCCTCGGGCACTGATGGGCATATTTGTGTAGCTCAATTTTTATGGAGAACTTGCAGATATCAGGGGTCCCTAAGATGTGGAAGCGGGTCTCTACAGCCGTCTGGAATAGCACTGGAATCAAAGGACAGTAGAAAACCTGGTTCAGTCCGTTCAACTCATCCCTGAGTGGGAAAATAATGCCATCTGGCCCTTGACTTTTTTTAAGGCTTAGCAGTGCCCAAAAAATGTGCTTTGGGGGAAGATAGTAAAGTAATTCTTTAAAGACAACAAAGTGCATTAACGTGAGTTAATGTTCAGATGTATCAAGTTCATAGAGCAGTGCCTAGAGCATTCTAAGTGTAATGTATGTTTGCAAAATCACAAAAATATAATTTGTACCAATATACAATTGATGAAAAACAAAACTCCTGCAAATTTTTAATAGAGACTGAGGGAATCAGTTGACAGTTTTGTTGTTGTAATTATTAAAGAAAGAAGGATCTCAGAAGAACATTATCCTTGTTAATTTTAAAAGTATATATGAAGAGTAATCATGCTTCTTTATACATAACTCAAGACAATATGCAGGATGTATAAGCAGATTTCCTCCTACAGTGAGTATGGATATCCTAAAAAAAAGTATTATCTGTAATGCCCTTAAGGTTTTCATACATTTCTAAATTTTTAAGTTTTATATCTATGATCAACATTAATTAAAACAACTCCTGTTTCTTAAATTTTTTTCTCCATACATCTTAATTCTTACATAATACTATATCCATTGTTGTGATCTTTCAATTTCTAGGCAACAGATGGTCTATATTGAGATTTATATCAAGTACCAAACACATGTAACTCAAATCATGGGAAAACTGACCTCAGTTCTCCCACTGTGGTATAGTTTATGAGGGATGACCATCCCTATGTAACCCAAGCCTGGGTTAGACCAACTTCAACCCATGCTATATCCTGATCTCACAATAAATGTGTATTGGTGGTATAGTGGTGAACATAGGTGCCTTCTATAATAAATGAATTAATGTTAGTGTTCAATATTATATTTTTTTTGCTATTATTATAGCAGGACTTTCATTCTCTATTTTGCTTCCTTTCTTTCTAATCTAAGAATGTTATTGGTGCAGGAGCTCATTTTTCAGTGAATACTGGGGTATATATTTTCCTCTCTTTCATTCCGTCATGAATGCAGTTGAGACAAACAATATTATGGATGAAGAATAGATCATATGATAACTGAATCCTGGGATGGGGGAGGGGCAAGTGGGATGAGGTCACTATAGATACTGACACCTTCCTTTTTAAATCTTAGCTTCCCAGGGGGCATCACAGCAGTGAAATGACTGTAATGATTCCAAGTCTTAGCTCATTTTATCTACTTGGTTCTCTGTAAATCTTGACTTGAGTTTTCTGAGCTGGCAGAGAAGGAGATTCCTGGAATTTTGGTGGCTTTAGGATACATTTTTCAAAAATTCTATTTGTTGCCTGAACTTGGAACTAAACAAAGAATAAGGATTGGAGCCTGGGCCATGTACCTGAACAACTTGGGTTATACTTAGCCAGAGTTGGCTATTTCCCCTCTCATCATATAAAACTCTGGGAGCCCATGGATAAGCCAACTAAATGGTAAAGTATCGAAGCATGCTTTGGGAATATCAGCTAAAATTAGAGGATTATGCATGGATTAGATCATGAAATCTGATCAGATTCAAGCTCATGCATATTTTATTTTATTTCAACAGAATGAAATCCCTGAGGTGAAGAAAGAAGAGACCTTGTTGGATTTGGACTTTGATCCTTTCAAGCCTGATGTGACCCCTGCAGGTTCTGCTGGAGTGACCCATTCACCCATGTCACAGGTATCCAGTGGATTTTTTGATGGTTGGGGCTGATAGTTTATAACCTTTAGTAAAGCTCAGTAAGGCATTTCCCTGATCCCTCTCCCTTTCACATGACTATTTCTTTTCAATTGACAAACATATCCTAATGGGAAGGAAGGGTAGAAAGAGGACTTGATCAATGTCAGTTATTCTCAACCTCCCCTACTGTTAGCTTTCTTTATCCACAGAGTTGGGATAACACACATTCCAGTTTGCAGGAATCCTCCATCTCAGAGTTACCCATAGTTCCACATTTGTACTAAGCAGTGTCCAGGCTTGGATGATACATTCTATGACTTCCCTAAGTAAGACTCTTCCTCTTGGCTTGGGGTTTAATCTTCTTACTATTTTCTCTACTGTTTTTCCTCATACTTGGCAGATTAAGTCTTTTGGCCATCACCGTGAGATTTTGTCCAAACAGGAATCTTCTTCAGTCCTGATACTTCTGAACTTAATGCTGATACTGATGATGCCTATGTGGTCTTTGTTTTTAATTTATTTATTTTAATTGGAGTATTGCCTTACATAGTTATGTTAGTTTCTGCTATACAGCAGTGTGAATCGCTATACATGTCCATACATCCCCTTCCTCCTAAGCCTCCCCTCCGTGCCCACCCCACACCCCACCAGTCTGGTCATCACAGAGCACCAGTCTGAGATCCCTGTGCTATACAGTGGCTTCCCACTAGCTCGCTATTTCACACGTGATAGTGTATACATGTCAGTGCTTCTCTCAATTGGTCCCACCTGCTGATGTCTACATGATCTTGATGATAATTTGATGCAGAGTTAGCCCTGCTTATCCATGCTTACCCATGTTCACAACTTCCCTCACTCTCAACATTCTTCCCATTTCAGTGGTTATTATGATCATATTGTCTATCAGAGGGATACTGGTAGTGGGTGCTGAAATGACCTGTGAGTAATTTCTCTGGAATATAGTTACTTTACAGTCATCTATGCTAATGGAAGGAAGTTAACTCAAAATATTTGCTACCCAGAAATTGTTTATGTCAGTATTTTTGATGTGATTGGGGCCTCACATTTGAGTCTGGGAAAATCCAAGAATGCTAGAATATAATTCAGATTAATTAATCCAAGTGTAGTGCAGAACTCAGCTTAGATATTGAGACCCAGCTCAACTTCTTGGTCTTGAGGCCTACTTGATACCTTATGATAAACCACTGGGACACAGACAGCTAACTGTGACCTCCAGTAAATAAGTCTCACTAATCCACACTTTGTTCAGAATGTGATTGGATTTATACAAGCCTCCATGTTGTGATATTGAAACAATAAAAATCTGAGATGTCAATAAATCAGGCGATTGAGTAGATTAGATGCTAGTCTAAAAGGTATTTAGCCAAAAAAAAAAAAAATGGGTTTCTTAGATGAATGTTTCAGGAGGTTTTATTAAAATTCCCTTTTAGGATATTCATGACATGCCTTAGAATATTCAGTTTAGTTCAGTTGCTCAGTTGTGTCTGACACTTTGTGACCCTATGGACTGCAGCACACCAGGCCTTCCTGTTTATCACCAACTTCCAGAGCTTGCTCAAACTCATGTCCATTGAGTCAGTGATGCCATCCAACCATCTCATCCTCTGTCGTCCCCTTCTCCTCCTGCCTTCAGTCTTTCCCAGCATCAGGGTCTTTTCTAGTTAGTCAGTTCTTCACATCAGTTGTCGAAAGTATTGGAGTTTCAGCTATAGCATCAGTTCTTCCAGTGAATATTCAGGACTGATTTCCTTTAGGAGTGACTGGTTTCATCTCCTTGTAGTACAAGGGACTCTCAAGAGTCTTTTCCAACACTACAGTTCAAAAGCATCAATTCTTCAGTGCTCAGCTTTCTTTATAGTACAACTCTCACATCCATACATGACTACTGGAAAAACTATAGTTTTGACTAGACAGAACTTTGTCAGCAAAGTGATGTCTCTGCTTTTTATATGCTGTCTAGGTTGGTCATAGCTTTTCTTCCAAGAATATTAAAGGCTCCAAAAAGTCCTGCACTTAAAAAAACAAAACTATTTAGACTTGTTTAAATTAGTTTCTCAAATTTGTTTGACCCCAGAAATCTGTTCCAATGAAACATTCTTAGCATTCATGGGAGTGGTCCCTAAAACTCACTTTGGGAAATACTGATGTATTGTCAGCAAGTTTGAGGGTTCTATCTTGTTGATAAAGCAAAGTAAAACATGAATGGATGTATAATTCAGAACATCTCCTTGGCAGAGCTTTCTCATTGGGTTAGACAGCCAGCAGAATTCAAGGGACTTCTGCCTTCTCCTCCAACACTCACTACGTTAGTGGCAAGAGTAAACTTTCCACAGTGGATGCTGTGATGATCAGGGGATGAGATGCCATGCCATTTCAGGCTGCAAGTTTGACTCAGGAGAGGAACCTCTTTTCTATCAAGTCATGGTTAAATGAATTCATGAATCATGGAATTTAAGACTAAGAGATTTTTTCAGAATTAAGCAAAAAAAATGACCTGGGTTACATATTCAGAGGTCTTAGTTTCTGGCAGAAATTCATTACTGCCATCAGGGCACTCTGTATGTGCCCCTCTGCTCTTCCCTCAGGCTAGGTGATAAACTGCTCTGGCTTCCCAGTGTCCGTAATTGAGTCACCTCACTGCAGCGTTGACCTGTGATCCAACTCTAGTCACATCGCTCCTCCTTGGTGAAGAAGAAAAGTCAGGCTGAGATGAGAAAAAGCACAGAACTGTTAGATTCTGCTACCTTCTCTCTCCTTGACTCAACGTGGTCTCCCTTCCCCGTCGCCTGATCCTGTGTTTTAAATTGCTGTTCTTTCTGCTTGCGGAGCACCTCACCCTGTGATCTCTGCAGTGTCCGCATGAGTTAACATGTCCTTACATGATCGTAAGGAGTGATAAACATGACGTTTCACATTGCTGCCTTCCTTCAGAGAAAATGCCTGTGCTTTCTGCATTATGCAGAGACGAGTAGGAGCTTTTAGGAACTGTGATTCTTAAAGGGCTGTGAAGCAAGAAAACATAAACCATCTAGAAAACCAGAAAATGCATGTAAGGTGCAGAAGGACTCTGTGTACCAATAACTGGCTTTCAAATTGTCTTGTCATTCTACAAGTGAGTGCTAATCCAGAGACGGACCAGGCTGCCTAGAGCTGCAGGGCAGGGGGATATTAGAGGAGGCCCAGGCCCAAACCCCCTGAGGGGGGTTTCAGTTGGGACCACAGGGCCCGTCTTCTGTAGTACAGAACCCAAACCAGACGTCTGTAATCCCATCTGGAAGCTGTCATATTTTTCAGATGAAAGTGCGAGACTCTCTAATGTTCTGTACATATTTAGAGATTCAAAACAAGCAAACAAACATGGATGTAGTCTAGTCACAAAGGCGTGAATGGAAAAGGATGTGGCTTTAGCAGTAATTCTCAGTCACAAAGGAATTAAGAAAGAGAGGTCTCCTCCACTGTCTACACACAGTGGAAGTCTTTTTGAACCATCTGGATTTATTCCCCAGTATCAATAAGCTTCATAATTAAGATGCCAGGAATAAGTGTAATTCAGCCACATGTCTTAGGGGGCACTCTGCTAATTTGCATGATGGCCAATTAATTGAGCTGTGTGTTGTCTCATTCAACATACTGAAGAATTGCTTTTCTGGAGGTCATTTACCATCAAACAGGTCATCCTCTTTAATTTGATTGGGGGTTGGGGTAGAAGAAATAGCAAATGATTAGGATCTGCATTTCCCCAAAGATGTGATAAACTCTAATATCTGGACACCTTGTTTACCTCATTTTAATTGTGTGTGTGTGTGTGTGTGTGTGTGTGTGTGTGTGTATGTGTGTGTGTGTTAATGTAAGCCCGTTCATCATGCTTTGGATATAGATTTCACTCACAGAGTGAAAAACAGATTGACTAGACCTATGCTATCCAATATGGTAGCCACTAGCCACATGTGGATATTTTCAATAATCTAAGTTAAATATAAGAATGTAAAATTTAAAATTTGGTTCTGTTAGACTTGCACATTTCAAGTCCCAAAAGCACATGTGACTAGTGGCTGCTATATTGGACAGCATGGATATGGAACATTTCATCACCAAATAAAATGCTATTGGCCAGTGCTGTACAAAATGTTTCTAAAATGTTTCTGATTCTATTTCAAGAACTTATATCACCTCCATATTTTTTACATGCTTGAGGTTTATCTGCTGATGGTATTTTTTTGTTTGTTTGTTTGCTTTCAGACATTGCCCTGGGACCTATGGACGGTAAGAGGACTAAGAATTCTGTATTTTAATGTATCTGGATGGCTAGACATTGGGAACCTTGTTATATTTTATCTATTATGGAAAGAAGATCCAGATAATTTTGATGACAGTCATCAGCTCCCTGATGATTTCTAAGCATTTATCTGCACCCAGAAACAGTGGTGAGGAAAAGAGGAAATACCAGACTCCTGGGCGAGCAAGAATTCAGTGTTGCGCACCCTTCATGCATCTTCTTTGATTATGAGTGGCCAGAGGAAATGTTGCAGTGAAGGGCATACATGTTTGTTACTGCTTATAGAATACATGAAAAGTATGGATGAGAAATCATAAATGACAAGTTATTCCACACAGGAAACCATTAAAATTAAAAAAAAAATTTTTTGCCATGAGGCATGTAAGATCCTAGGTCACAGACCAGGGATTGAACCTGAATCCCTTGCAGTGGAAGCGAGGAGTCTTAACCACTGGACAAACAGGGGAATCGCCAGGGAACACTTTTTCTTCATTATTATTTTCACTGAAGCTTAGTCACAGAGGATTTGAGCTTTAGAGCCAGACATTCCTGGATGTGAGTCTACACTGCAGTTCCTATAACAATATGATTTTCAGTAAGTTCTGAAACTCTTGAAGCTTCAGTTTTTCTCATCTGTAAAATAAGGGTTATGACACCTACCTCAGAGTTGTGTGAGGGTTAAAGGAGATAATATTTGTATTTAGCTCAGTATCTGTCATGTATTGATACAAAATCTATATTACTGCTGATGTTATTTATTCAGCTAATCTGATCTGCAAGGGTAAACATTTCCAAAATTGAGAACTGAAACTAAAGCACAGAGTTTGGTGGTGGCAACATCTGTGAAATTAAGAAAATAATTGCACCCGTATGAAGCCCCATTTCTCTTGGAGTTGAGCCCTTTTCTCCCCTGTCTTAGAAAAGCCCTGGGTCATGTGGTCTGAAGAACTCAACTTGAGTTTCATGTTTTCTTCTCTTTTAGTGAAACAGCAACAGGAAATTTGGGTAGATCTAACTATTCATGAGCCTGGGATTCTGAAGTGACATTGCTCCTTTCTTCCCTCAAAACAGAAAGATGACTATTCCCTTCCCTTCCTCAGGAGATTGAGGCATCATGGAAGGCTCTCAAGAGAAGAGCTACAAAATTCCTGCATGAAAACATCTTTTATAGGGAGATGATTTTACTTGGATATTCACAAAAAAGGCTGACATTCAAAACATTGGGATTCTAGTCTCAACCTTGTGCTGATTTTTTTAAAGGATGAAGAAGACAAAGCTAGTTTTTGTTATCCCAGTATTTTATATATTTAGTTGGAGAGTTGGAATTATAACACACCTTTCTTTACCTAACTGGCATGGAGAAAGTGAAAGTACCATCTAGAAGGAGTGTTAACTAATTCAGAAGACAAATATGCTAGGAATGGTAACAATGACAAGATTGTAAGACAACAGCTCCCTGGACATAATTGCTCATATTTCTTGATCGTCTCAGGTGTTACTCCTTTGTATGCAGACAAGTCTTCTAGGTCAGGGGGAGAACAAGAGGAAGGTCCTCCAGGCAGCAGAGTGATTAGTTCATCAGATCATCCTCCATCCAAACACTACCTCAAAGGCAGAACCAAGGGCAGGATGAGTTTGGGAAAGATTTGATTCTGATATTATTTCAGAGCATATGATGCTGTGTAATTTTGTGGCTGCTAATGCTTGATCTTGTTCTGGTGTCCTCAGACTTGCTTCTTTATTTATTTGAAAGTTTGCATTTCAGAGTCTGCTAAAGCAAAAGCCATGTAATAGGCATAAAATGTGTTTGTTGATTTTAGAAAATGACGGGCTAGCTTCATATTTCAATTATGTAGTCTTCACAATAGTGAAACAAAACTCATTTCTATTGCAAAACAAATTGCAAAACTTAATCTCAAACCAATAAAAGTCAAAGTCATCAATGGCATGTTGATTTTGGTCAACATGAGATTTTAATGTGCTAGGAAATTTTCTTTTCTTGCCTTATGATCATGTGTATGCTTATTTATTATTATTTTTTTACTCATACAGACAAGCACTGATTTGGTACAGCCGGTAGGTAAATATCCAGAAAATTCTGGATTTTTTTTCATATTTAATATACATTGTATATACATAGTGTATTATCTTAGAGTGAGCTTTCATTTCTCATGGCATTGCTAGTCACAGATGTGGCCTTACACAATTTAATTTACATACTCTAGGTTTATTTAACTGGTGCCTCTCTATTGAAGACTTTTATGTTTCTCATCAAATCTTACCATGATCTATTTCATCTTAATGTTTTTTTTTTTTTCCTTTGCTCTTCTGCATACTCTAAAGACTGATTCTTCAAAAAGTCTTTCCCTGTGTAACCTGATCATGGAGGAAACTCCAGACAGTGGGTTGACCGAAGAAATTCAAAGATCTCAGATTGATTTAGGTGCAATTATTTGGGGCCCCGATGCTAGTACAGACAATTTCAGCCAGAAAACTACCCAAGATGGGTCGCAGGAAGACTCTGCATGTCTCTCTGAAGCAGAGCAGGACCTGGGATTGTCCACCGGAATGCTTCCTTCTGCTGACTGGCATATTGTAGCTGGCCAGGGTGAACATGTCCTGGGGCCAGCCCCACCACGTGGAGATGAACAACTGCCCCCAAACCCCATCCATGGGGCTGCTTGTGTGGAGATGGAGCATCTTTGTGATTTACCCGACTCAGAGATACCAGCCATGGAAACTAGTGGCCTGGTCAAAGAAAGTCAAGAAGATGTTAAAAAGTCAGAAGAAGAGAAAGGAAACCAGAAGACAGAAGATTCTATCTGGGCAGGTGTGGAGACATGTGAAAAGGTAGAGGCTGGAACTATTGGTGTCAAGGACCTAGAAGGGACAGAGGAATTTGAAGAGAGAACATGTGAAAGTACAGGAAATGGAGTAGTAGATCTTTTTAAGACACTAGGAAAGCAAGACCAGGAGACCTTAAAAATCAATGAAGAGGAAACTAGGAAATATCTAAGTGCTGGGTGTGAAGAAAGCATAAAGACTGATGAAAAGTGTCTTGAGAAAACTGACATATTAGAAAAAGACATGAAAAATGTAGATCAAGCAGATGAGTTTAGTGACAGAGCCCAAGGGCTAGATGAAGGGAATCAAGTAGTAGTAAGTAATTGTGAAATTATAGAGGGTTCTGGAGCTAATGGTGCCAGTCACACAGATATTTTGAATCTGCCTCCCCAGGCTGACTCTGTGTCTAATACTGAAGATGCCAGCCCAGAGGGATGGTTCTTAGCTGGAAAAGACAAAGAGAAAAAATTAATAGACCCTCCTAACCATAATATACTCTATCACTCAGCACGGGGTAGTACAGATGCTAAAGAGATTCAGTGTGAGGCTGTAATACATGCTTTTGGAGCTGACACGGATGGAAATCAGGCTATTGTTTTATCAGTAACACATGAAGCAGCAACTCAGTCTAGGCCAGATCTTAATTCTACCCTGGGAACTGATGCAAACAGAAGAGACTGGGGTTTGTGTAAGACAGAGGATTCATTAATAGAGGGACCTGAAAGGACAGTGACTAGGAACTGTAGCCAAACCATTAACTTGCCAAGAATTGCAAAAACGGAGGCTTGGGGAACAGATCCAGGTCAAAGCCGACAGCCAAGCTTGGATTCAGCAGGGAATAATGTAGAAATGGTAGAATTCTCTGGTATACCAGATGGCCAAGCAAGTGGATTTGCCACTTGTCTTCATTTTGTTAACCACTGGCCTACCAGAGATACAGAAGGCTTAGATAATTGCAGGGAACGCTTAGATACAGTTGGAGGTGAGAAAGGGCTGGCGGTGGATTTACCTGCAGATGTAGGTGGGGAACAAGTCATTGGTAGCTGCTGGGAACAAAGCCAAGAGGTAGCTTTACCGCTGGTTCTGGGAGCCTCCCAGATTGCTAGCACTGAGAATTCTGCTAGTCCCCAAGACAATGACACCAACAACTCAGATTTGTCTGAAGATGAAATTGCTAACCAGAGATATGGATTGTTGTACCAGGAAATAGAGGCTGATAAAGAAGAGGTACTTACCCCAGTATGTAGTATAGATTAGCCAAAGACTTCTGTAGGCTGCTTTTCCTAATGTTTCTCACCTACTTCATCATCCTTCTCTGTCTTCTCCAAGGTCTCCCTCATCTCCTTGACAGATTGTCATGTACCTCTTGAAATCTGGGCAAACCAAACACAAATAGGTTGACAAAAAACAGACCAAAAAGACAACCAAAATGACAACGAAAAAAGCAGAATGATTGGGTTGGGAATTGATGAGAGTCTATCTTACCATCCCATTTACTGTGTTTATTCTTTCTACTTTCAGTTTTATCGTTCAAGCACTAAAATATATTAAAAAACCAGACTAATTTACTGTTCCTAAAGTGGTTACACCCCAATAAAAGCACATGAAATGTTTCTACCAAGGTCCATTGAAATTATAAAATCTCATAATAGCTGTTCATTAAAGGGATGTATTTAGAGAAAAATACTGGATGTGCTTCTAGAGTCTATTGATGGCTAAAAAAAGAACTGTTTAAACCCTCATGGCTCTTGTGTGCAATCATGTTCTCGTTATTAGGAAAGTAGGTTTTGGTTAGCCACATATCAGCAATAATTATAAAACGAATGTTTCCCATTTTTGTCAGCCTATTTAAAATAATACAGTATGGCTGTTTCCATTTCCTAAGCATTTGAATGCTAGGAAAACTTCTGTATTATTTTAAAATTTGTGGTGGTCTTCAGTTTCCCACTTGTCTAATAGACATTTACCAATCTTAGAGAAGTAACGAAAAAAATTAACATACTCTGATTTCCATTTCTGTTTAGGCTTCTGGAGGTTCGTTTAATGGATTCACCCAGGTAAGAAATTGATTTACTGGTAAAATTCATCAGTTGAGAACATGGCAAAGTTTAAAAATATGGAACCTCTGATCATTGGAATAGCATAATGTTTAAGTATGTCAATATAAAATTTGACCCCACTTCTTGTGAACTTAGTAATGGAAATAGTAATAGTAGTAAGGTTGCAGGGTTGTTGTGAAGGTTAAATGAGATGCCAGTGCAGAGACTTAGTCTAGCAGCCTGGCACATACTAAGTGCTCCATGACACTAACTGGCTATTGGTAATAAGGTACACTATGGAATTCTGATGATTCCTTCACTAGAAATTTGAAGTTGTCTTAATCTGAGAGATCTGCTAGGCTCAGCTATTGGAAAAGAAGAGATAGGATTGGTTTGATCTAATGAGATGGCTCTTTAGACAATATAAGTGATTTTTAGGAGCCTCCTTCTAAAGGTTCATTTAAGAATCATACTACACAGAACCTTATTTTTTCAGTGGTTCTTCAGAAAGGAGCCATTGGAAGATCACAAACCACTGACCAGGTTGGCTCTGTCCAATAAATCAGCATTTTCCTTGGAAGTCTGTGAAGGAGGGGCCACACAATGGACCGTTCCATTCACTGTATGTGTCCCAACAGATGGATAGTGTAACCCATATGAAAAGCAGACCACATGGCTATCAAGTCATGGAATAAGTTCTGAAGACTTCTTAAAGGGAAACTTCATGTATCTGCCTATCTGTGATGAGTGTTTTGTCTCAGATCTTAGACACGAACAGTTTTGAATTTCAGCCTTCAGAATTTCTCCATTTAAAAGTTTGACTACTTTGCCACATGTTATCTATAAAAAGAGAAAACCCACTCACACACCTGCTCCTGAATACAGATACACACACACACACACACACACAGAGAGATGATAATGTATCTTTCCATAGAAGCGAACTCTTTCAAAAGATTGGGTTTTAAGAACAGTTATTCATGTCTCATTTTTAAAGTTTGTATTTTTATCAGTTATAAATGCACATCTTTTAAAGAGTAGCACAATTTAAAAGGATTTTTTTTTATTAAAGAAAAACAAAAACTTTAAATTCAGGCCATCTTATACCCCCTACCTACATTTCCTGCTTCTTAGAGGAAAATATTTTACACCTTTTAGCAGATTCTCTGGTTTCACCACCACATGTGTTACGACTTTCTTATAATGCTCCTTCTTGATTTGCAAAGCATTAGTTATGGACTCATCTCTTGGAGAAGGCAATGGCACCCCACTCCAGTGCTCTTGCCTGGAAAATCCCATGGACGGAGGAGCCTGGTAGGCTGCAGTCCATGGGGTCGCGAAGAGTCAGACATGACTGAGCAACTTCACTTTCACTTTTCACTTTCATGCATTGAAGAAGGAAATGGCAACCCACTCCAGTGTTCTTGCCTGAAAAATCCCAGGGACGGCGGAGCCTGGTGGGCTGCCATCTGTGGGGTCGCACAGAGTCGGACACGACTGAAGCGACTTAGCAGCAGCAGCAGCATCTCTCTGGAAGACTCAAGTGTCTTCAATCTGCTGCCCTCAGAGTTCACATCTCTCTCTCTGCTTCCTGCCCTTCCAGTGACATGATAGCCAGCCAGCCAGTCAGTGGTGGGGTTATGATGATGCTATAAATGCTCTTATTGGTCAAGTGATGACGTTTACCTTTCCTTTTAGGCTAACATTTTTTTCCTTGGAGGAAGTAATTGTAGGATCTTGTTTGTGAGCTTGTTTATTTGTTTGTGACCTTCCTTATTTGTTTGTTTCATTTTCTGGGTACTTATTACTAACTCAACCACATATTCTGTGGTTATAGAAGTCTCCTCTCTTTCACAAAACATTAAACATTCATTAAGTTTCATCCTATTGAACATTGAAACTGTTCTTCGGGACTGTTCTAATCAGACCTGGAAATTCTATGGGGTATGACTCGCCACAGTTTTAAACACAGGGTCTCCCATCACATCTTCTGTGGGGGTGGTCTCACCTCTCTTCTGTCCATCCACTCTTTTCAGGATACAAATCACCCTCATTTGGGGTTAAATCCCTTATTTGGATAGAGCACATCCTTCAGTAACTTCCTGAGAAAAGTGTGCACAAGACGCATGTATTTGTGACCTCCTGTATTTGAAAGTATCTCTGTCCTCATGTACCTAATAGACTGTTTGGATATTATAAGTTATAAACTATTTTCCCTTGGAATTTTGAAGCCATTGTTCCACTCAATTCTGTCTCCTAGTGTTGCCACTGAAAAAATGTCATTTCTTTTTCGTTTCCCTCAGTTCAGTTCAGTTCAGTTCAATCGCTCAGTCGTGTCTGACTCTTTGCAACCCCACAAATCGCAGCACGCCAGGCCTCCCTGTCCACCACCAACTCCCTGAGTTTACCCAAACTCATGTGCATCGAGTCAGTGATGCCATCCAACCATCTCATCCTCTGTCGTCCCCTTCTCCTCCTGTCCCCAATCCCTCCCAGCATTAGGGTCTTTTCCAGTGAGTCAACTCTTCGCATCAGGTGGCCAAAATGTTGGAGTTTTAGCTTCAGCATCAGTCCTTCCAAAGAACACCCAGAACTGATCTCCTTTAGGATGGACTGCTTGGATCTCCTTGCAGTCCAAGGGACCCTCAAGAGTCTTCTCCAACACCACAGTTCAAAAGCATCAATTCTTTGGCGTTCAGCTTTCTTCACAGTCCAACTCTCACATCCATACATGACCACTGAAAAAACCATAGCCTTGACCAGACAGAACTTTGTTGGCAAAGTAATGTCTCTGCTTTTTAATATGCTATCTAGTTTGGTCATAACTTTCCTTCCAAGGAGTAAGCGTCTTTTAATTTCGTGGCTGCAGTCACCATCTGCAGTGATTTTGGAGCCCAACAAAATAAAGTCTGATACTGTTTCCACTGTTTCCCCATCTATTTCCCATGAAGTGATGGGACCAGATGCCATGATCTTAGTTTTCTGAATGTTAAGCTTTAAGTCAACTTTTTCACTCTCTTTCACTTTCATCAAGAGGCTTTTTAGTTCCTCTTCACTTTCTGCCATGAGGGTGGTGTCATCTGCATATCTGAGGTTATTGATATTTCTCCTGGCAATCTTGATTCCAGCTTTTGTTTCCTCCAGCCCAGCATTTCTCATGATGTACTCTGCATATAAGTTAAATAAGCAGGGTGACAATATACAGCCTTGATGTACTCCTTTTCCTATTTGGAACCAGTCTATTGTTCCATCCAGTTCTAAATGTTGCTTCCTGACCTGCATACAGGTTTCTCAAGAGGCAGGTCAGGTGGTCTGGTATTCCCATCTCTTCAAGAATTTGTGTACATCTTTTTTAACATTTAATAAATAATTTTATTGACATATAATTGATTTTCAATGTTGTGTTAGTTTCAGGTGTGCAGTGAAGTGATTCAGTTATGCAAATATATAATCTTTTCCCTATTCCTTTCCATTGTGGTTTAATCACAGAGTATTGAGTATAGTTCCCTGTGCTATATGTAATAGGACCTTGCTTATTTTGTATATAGTAGCGTGTATCTGTTAATCCCAAACTCCTAATTTATCTGTCCCTGCCTTTCCCCTTTGGTAGCCATGTTTGCTTTCTATGTCTCTGAATCTATTTTTTTTTTTGTAAATAAGTTCACTTGTATCATTTTGTTAAGATCCCACATATGAGTGATACCATATAGGATTTGTCTTTGATGAGAAACTGTCATTTTGATTCTTGATGTTTTGTCAGAAACCCTATCTGTCTATTTCTCTGTGTGCTTGTATGCCCCTGCCACCTTTTTCTCTCTGCAAGTCTATGTAATCTTTATACCCATGTTTCTAAAATTTTACAATGATGTACTATGGTCCACATCTGTTTTCATACATTGTACTAGGCCCTTTTAATCTGAAAATTGCTTATTTTTTGGTTTGTTTTCTTGTTCTGCAACACTTCTCTTTTTCATGTACTGACTTTTTGAGCTAGTCTTCCGATTTTTTTTTCTTTTTCATTTTCTCTTTCTCTGCTTTCCAGGTTTTCTAACAGATTTTTTAGCTTCTATATATATATTTAAATTCTCATAAGCTTTTTGTTTACTGAATATTTCTTTTTGAATAGCATCTTCTTATGTTATGAATATACCATCTTCCACTGTATCTCCAAGGGTATTAATAATTCCCAAAGGTGTAAAGTCTTTGTTTCTTCCACTTTTTAAAAGCTATTCAGTCTTCCTTGAATATTTGAGACTCCTCAAATGTCTGGTGACCTTGGCTGTCTCTTTAATAGGAGGTCACTGAACAACTGATAGACTTGTCCAAGTAGGTGGGACCCATTGACTCTGGATTTTGTTGTAGGATTTTCTGGCTCATCTTTTCTGTTGAGGATTTCCTGGTATCAGATTCTTTTGACTTTTTTCCCTTCTGTCTCAAGCTGGTCATGTTTCTCTCTTCTGGTCTCCTGTCTGGGTATGTGGGGGCCAGAGAGGGAGTATAGGGTTCAAGCCTGGTTGCCAGGTTAATTGGAGTTGAATGGGGGAGTAGTTGGGGGTGGAGGAGCCCTTGTCTCTATTATGTAAATATTCAATTAATTCCTCTACTTTCCTAATATACTTTCCTGTGTGTCCCCCAGTCCAGAGACTCCAGAGACCCTCTGTGTCAGCCTCTGAAAATAGGGGCAAAGGGTGTTGCTTGGTTTTCAAATATGAGACTATCTCCAGGTCTAAGTAATATTCAGTAGACTTTCAACCAGTTCCCCTGGCTTTTGCACCACCCTCACTTCCATTTCTCATGGTACCTCATTTATAATTCTCTTTTAAATTAATTTGTATTAGAGTATAGTTGTTTATAATGCTGTTAGTTTCTGCTGTACGGAAAAGTGAATCAGCTGTATGTGTACATATATCCCCTCTTTTCTGGAGGATTTCTTTTCCGTCGGTCACCACTGAACGCCGAGTAGAGTTCCCTGAGCTATACCGTAGGCTCTCATTCAGCTCAGCTCAGTCTCTCAGTTATGTCTGACTGCGACCCCGTGGGCTGCGGCACACCAGGCTTCCCTGTCCATCACCAAGCCCCGGAGTTTGCTCAAAATCCTGTCCATCAAACTGGTGATGCCATCCAACCATCTCATCCTCTGTCATCCTCTTCTCCTCCTGTCTTCAATCTTTCCCAGCATCAGGGTCTTTTCAAATGAGTCAGTTCTTCGCATCAGGTCACCAAAGTATTGGAGTTTCAGCTTCAGCATCAGTCCTTCCAATGAATATTCAGGACTGATTTCCTTTAGGAATGACTGACTTGATCTCCTCGCTGTCCAAGGTACTCTCAAGAGTCTTCTCCAACACCACAGTTCAAAAGCATCAATTCTTCTGTGCTCAGCTTTCTTTATAGTCCATATCTCTCCTCCGTACCTGACTACTGGAAAAACCATAGCTTTGACTAGATGGACCTTTGTTGGCAAAGTAATGTCTCTGCTTTTTAATATGCTGTCTAATTTGGTCATAGCTTTTCTTCCAAGGAGCAAATGTCTTTTAATTTCATGGCTGCAGTCATCCTCTGCAGTGATTTTGGATCCCAAGAAAGTAAAGTTTCTCACTGTTTCCATTGTTTCTGCATCTATTTGCCATGAAGTGATGGGACCAGATGCCATGATCTTAGTTTTCTGACTGTTGAGTTTTAAGCCATGTTTTTCACTCTCCTCTTTCACTTTCATCAAGAGGCTCTTTAGTTCTTCGCTTTCTGCCATAAGGATGGTGTCACCTGTATATCTGAGGTTATTGATATTTCTGCCGACAATCTTGATTCCAACTTTGCTTCATCCAGCGTGGCATTTCACACCATGTACTCTGCATATAAGTTAAATAAGCAGGGTGACAATATACTCCTTCTATTTTATACATAGTATCAATAGTGTATATATGTCAACTACAATCTCCCAGTTCATCGGAACTCCTCTCTCCCCCGCTTTGGTATCACACATTTGTTTTCTATGTCTGTCTCTATTTTGGTTTTGTAAATAAGATCATCTGTACTATTTTTCTACATTCCACATATATGCGTTAATATACAGTATTTGATTTTCTGACTTACTTCACTCTGTATTACACTGTCATGCCCATCTACTTGTTGATCTATTGGGATTTATGAGTAATAAACTGGGTTGTTTTTGGCATTTCTACATCAACTCACAGTGTAGACTTTAGATCCTCCAAGTTACTGTTTGTTCGTTTGCTTTTTAATTTCAAAATTTTGTTGCGGTTGTTTTTCTTTCCATTCTTTTTACCCTCATGGGTTTATGCCTTTAAAAATTAATTTTCATCTTCTTATCTGGTTTGGATTCTGGAGGCAACAGAGGTAAATTCCTGTGTTCAATCCTCCATCTTTGACCAAATGTCACTAGCTCATCTTTTCTTTGGGAGAACCGTTGATATCTGATTATTTAGGGACTTTCCCCCCCTTTGAACTGGTTAAATTAGCCAGGAGAGACTCTTCTGGTTTCTTGTCTGGAGGGTAAAAGCCAGGTTACCCGTATAATGGGGAATGAAGATTCTCCCTGAGATCACTGTTCCTTTAGCTTGTCTCCAACTTGACTTTTTTACAATCCATATCCCAAATGAATATATTGCATACAATTTTTAAATTATGGCTCATAATTAATTTATAGATGTCACACTTTGATGAAGCAATAAGATTAAGAATCCAACATTTAAAATGCTTAAATTTGTAGCTTAGATCCACTAAATTCTGACTCGGTGTTGATGTCCTGGAGAGAAGCTGCAGACCAATAATGACTTTGAAAACTCTGCCCTTTGTTGAATGCCTCTCATCGTATTATTGATTTCTGCTAGCTCAGATGTATATTTGAAATAGCTGCTGCCAGAAATTATATTTGCATTTTTTGCTTTTGATTTAAACTAAACGAGACAAATGAATCTTTATAATGTATTTGTTGACTCAATTCATAGAAACCGATTTAAGTGATATCTTTGCTGTTGCTGTTTTGGCAAATTAACTGAAACCCTAATAATCTGGAATCTTCTACTTTGTCCCCACTTTTCAACTCCAGGATACTTCATTGTTCACAATGCAGGCAGACCAGAGTATGTTCAACATGGTGAGTTGATTTTGGTTTGTGTTTTGGAAAATTTTTCATTACCACCAAATGTTCCAAGGTTGATCATTGTAGGTAATTTAGAGCTTGAATATTCAGAGTGTGGTTTCCGTAGCTCTCTCTTTTCTAGAAAATAGGAAGGAAAGCTCCTGAAAAATCATGTGACTTTGAATGTGGTTGCTTCTATTTGTAAAGGCACAGTGATCCTGGCAAAAATCGAAGTATCTTAATTATGGGCTTCGATGGAACATGAAGTCTAGCCATTCAAGAACATGGATGTTTCTGTGTAACTATAGCTTATGCTAGAGGACTGACGATGAAATTGCCTCAAGAATTCATGCTTCAGAATAGATCCTTGATTTTCTTGAACCCTAGCTACTTCATCTCTCATCTCCTCCCTTCTTTTTGTGACCTGTAGAAAGAAGTAATGCATGGTAGAGATGTGATGCCTACTTTGCTGCCAAATGAGATAAAGAGAAAAATTTAGCTTGGGAGTGAGTAGGAAGCAGAAAGGTTACTCTGGGTGTTAGAGGAGATTCTTGCAAGATGGGTTATTATAGGAAACATGTAGCAGCAGCTTACTACTAAGGCTGACGAAGAGACGTTGAGTGATGTCACAGAGCTTGTCAGTGCTACACTGTGGAGGATTTAGGCTCCTTGAGGATTAGTTCAGGAAGGTTATTTGTAGCGCACTGTTTTTCCTGTGGGAGTGGCATAGAATTATCCCAGCTCTGGCTTTCACTTTGAAAACTCAGAATTGGATTTAAGTAGAATGAATTTTTCCTTTTAGATGATTTCACTTCCAAGAAAGGATTTCTACTCGGGAAGGTTAATTGGCCATTTTTCAAAGACAAGTGTTTCTCTAACATTCCGTCCATAGATGGGTGTATTTTTGCCTTTTGGGTAACCAGGTAAAAGGTGGAGTCTGTGATGCCTGCAAATGAAGAGTTAAATGTTTAAAATTCATACTATATTGGTGTTAATAATGGAGCCAGAGAGACTTATGTTTCATGATCATTGGTGGTTTTCAGTCTGGGTGATGGTGTAAGGGTTATACTGACACTGGAGGATGAGATTTTTAATTATCAATTGTGAATGAGTTCAAAAATGGAGAAATACTGCTGTAAAAAAAAGGCAATGGGTCATCAGTAAATTCACACCTACTACAATTACAAATTTCTGGCACAGAATCCAGTGGTTTTTAAGTTTCTCTGAACATCTCCTTACCACCCCTACACACACAGCAGGTTCTAGGAGCTTCCATGTATGCCCTTCTCTTCTCTTTATCTGTGTTTTCTGAAGCATATTTCTTGTACCTTCTTTTCATTGGGGAGCTTAGCTGTGTCATGCCCAGCACTGCAGATGCTGCTAGTGTTGGCTCTGCGCTATGAAGGACTGCGAGATCACAGTGAACCTCACCCACTGAGTTGCATTGGTATAGCATCTTCCCAGAAGCAGAACAATATCTGAACATGGGTTCATTGACTGATCTGAGCAAAGCAGAGGCTGAAGTTGATAGTCAGCTGCACATCTCCCTAGTCTTCATCTTGTGGCCCCACGAGATATCCCTTGAGTACAAGTTTAAACCTTGTTGAATCTGCAGACCCTACTCTGTACTCAGGATTGCCTCCATGGCACCTTTGAAGTTCTCATTAGAGTAGCTGTCTTGAGTTTGGAGAAGCCAGTTACCATGTGTCTAGACCCTTAACTCCACTCTCCCAAACCATCTCTTCTTACCCTGCACTGGCCTGCTTTCCAGCTTATCACAGAGGTTGCTAGAAAATGCGTGCTCTAACAGCACTACTTGTTTTGTTCTAAGGCAAGAATTCCATTTCTGAGACTTCAGAATTAAACCATTGTGGCATCCTGCTGCCACTAATAAATACAGAGAATACCTGCCCTCTGAATGTATAATGATGGCTACGCCAGCGAACACCAGTGCCCCCAGGTGGGTACAGCATGGTATCAGCCCATTGAAAATGTTTGCCAGGGGAAGCTTCTTATAGAAAAAAAAAAGTGCTTGCAACAGGGCACAATTCCTGAAAGTCTACTTTAAGATCTTTCCATGAGATGCTGTTACCTTTACTTTTTCTTCTGTCTTGACAAAATATTTTCCATTTTATATTATCCTAGAAGGATTAGACAAGTGACTTAAGTTTCCAAATTTGAGCAGCCTATTTTATGTACAGTCATGCTGTCATGTTTCAGCCTTACTCATCATTCACTGAATTCTATTTGTCCCCCTAGAATTTAACTTTATAATGCTATATTATAATATTTGGTGTGATATTATTAGAGGAAAATATTGTGACTTGTGGAATATAACCAATTCCTCATCTTTATACTTTGCTTCCATTGAGTTATTGTCTGACTTCAACAAGCAAATGCCATTGGACTTATTCATGAAAACACCCTGCCTGCTCTTGCCATGTATGAAACTTCAAAATTTCTCAGACTTCCAAGAAACCCAGACTGATCCAAATATTTTTTCATTTTAGGTTATCTTTGTTTTTGGTTTGGGTTTTTTAAAAAATCTTAATGTAAACAGATAAATTTATTTGATAGATGTTTTGAAACTTCCTTGGCTCCTCATCCCCCATTGCAGACTCAGCTCACAGTGGGGCAGCCATCTGCCCATGGGTTTCTTTGTCTTTGTCAAATTACCCTTCCTATCCTTGTTGTGTAGGTCATTTGATATCGTCCTCTCATAGCCAGTCACCTTGACTTCCAAAATGATTAAATCATACTGTGAGAGCTTATAGTATTTCTTAGCTGCAATGAAAACTTTTTCTGTTATGAAGATAATTCCTTTTGAACAATACAAGTGAAATCTTTTCCCATAAAGAACTCCTGAGAGTAGATTAGAGTGAATTTTATCTCATTCTTTCTTAAAACTTGTGTCAGATCACCCTTTAAAGGTTATAAAAGCCCATAAAAATACCAGATCTATGTACATTTATCTACCTAAGTATCCTTTTATTTTTATTATGCCCTTTCAAGAAAGGGGTGATGTGACCTTGGCTTGGGTTGCAATGAAGGATTTAGTGGCAGCATAAGAGAAATAGTTTGCATATTTATCCAACAGCAGGCTATTTATTATTTTCTATTATCTCAGCATAACTTCGCTATCACTTCCCTGTGGAACCTATCCTGTGCACCCATTTCAGTCTACATATGGGAGAGAGATGGCTTTTGATTTCTTACAGCAAATGTTTGACAAAGATTTCTGATTCCTCCAAAGGAAATATTTATTGGAGACTCCTTACTCTTCTAGGAAAACACTTTTAAACTTTCTTGCAGTTTAAACACCCTGATGGAAAAAGATCTTAACATACCTTCCAGTGGCCATCTGTACGTTAATCTATAAATCAAAAGAGAGGAAATAGTTTCAGTAGCCACAGTAACATGCATTGATTGGCTGTGCTGTTTTTCATAGTTATTATTTAATCTTGCTAACTTTAAAACTGAAAAAGTCTGGAGCTAAGAGATTCCAGGGGCTTGATTCAGCATGTAATTGGAATCAGGAGGGTGTCTGTGGGTAGAGGTCCTAGTAGGAAGAAAAGACTTCACTCTGGTCTGCACAAGAGTCTGACTGATATCACAGAGAATACTGCTCAGTAGTTCCTTAAAGAATTAGTTTATCATGTGAAAACGACTGATGACTAAGGATTTCATTGGAAGGAGAAGTGAAATATAGGGACTGAACAGGAATGTATAAGGGCAAGGTATCTATGATGGTGGTGGCTCCTTGCCTGGTGACTGAGTCTGTTCCTCCTAGCCGTCACTAGTCACTCCATAGTGACCATTCATATGCATTAATGCATTTTGATCTGAATCATTGGGAATATCCCTCAGTTTTTTGGCTGCAGTACCTATCAACAGAGCAGGCAGTTCCCAGAATTGTGTTCGCCTTGAGTTCTTCCTTACTCCTTCTAATTTCCAAAGGAGGGAGCTCCTAGGATCTCTTCTGTCTCTGCTCCATAGTGCAGAGTACCGTATCAATATCCCACGAAGCGAGTACTCAGAATATTGAAAGCAAGTACAACGGATCACCAAAATGGTAAGTCTTTGCCCAACTTCAGAGGATGTCACAGTGACGGTATTGTGAAACCTAATACGCTTATTCCTAGACTTTTTCAGTTCTGTAAAGAACCATCATGCCTAATCTGGACTTTTTCTTTTCCAGCACACATTTAATGAAGCTAATTACCTATAGGGTGATGAAGAAAATCGTTACTTGTCCAGTGTTCCTTAACGTTATCTGTTTACATGTTGAATCTTTTCCCTCTAACCCTCGAAACAAACCATCAAAGGCTGAATCTGAGCAGGCTCCACCCACAGAGCCGAAAGCCGAGGAGCCCCCTGCTGCTGTTCCACCTGCCGCTGGGCTGGACCTTGGACTGGACACCCGGGCTGAGGAGCCAGAGGAGGGGGCAGCGGTGAGCGCCACTCCCTCCCACCCTCCGCTCACCTCCCCACCACCGCTGTGCTCGTCTCATACCATTTCTCCCTTATCATTCCTGTTTCTCTTGGGCCACATCACTTCCATACCTGTCACAGCTTCCCAAGTTCAAATGGCCTTTATTCCTTTGACAGTGAAAGTTCATTCTCTTTTTTTTTTTTTTAAAGAAAGATATCCAGAGACCTGATCTAAGGCTGTCATGTTGCCATAGGCTTGGTTCTCAATAAAGGGTACCGTGAACCTTTCTGCTACTTCCCATCCATGGTAAATAGGTGGTAATAACTCACAAATTACCTGACCTAGTGCTTGCCCCACCTGCGATGGCTGATGGCGGACCTTCCATTAGGGACCAACCTGCAGATAACAAACAGAAGGGTAATCACTTTGTTGTTGGTGTCTCCATATTGATTTCTTACAGTGTTAGTCTTGTAGGTTGGTTTAGGCCCCATGAGGGACTGAAATCCTACATTAAAAATCATTGAATCTACAAGGATTCCTATGTGTACAACCGTTTGCTCAAAATCAGGTCTGGTACTGGCTGTCATAATATGAGGGAGCCTAAGGATCTGTTTTCTGCAGAGGTGGAGACTCGTCCGTCTGCCTGGAAACCTCTCACCTTGCTCGCTGCAGCTGTGCACCACACCACATCCTAAAGTGGAATGGGCTCTATACGCACCATACTGAATTGCATCATTTAACACACTTGGAAGTGTAGAATGACACCAAAGAAAACATAATCCAAAATACCCATGGAGAGCAAAAAGAGTTTATTTATGAAATGCAGGTAAAGCATCTCCCAAGAATTTAATCAGAGTGCTGCTGCTGCTGCTAAGTCGCTTCAGTCGTGTCCGACTCTGTGCGACCCCATAGACGGCAGCCCACCAGGCTCCTCTGTCCCTGGGATTCTCCAGGCAAGAACACTGGAGTGGGCTGCCATTTTCTTCTCCATTTAATCAGAGTACCATTTAGTAAATACTACAGCCTTCACATAATCTGTACAGAGAGGAGAACCAATCTCCCAGTTTCCAAAATAACATTGCCTAGATGAGATAACTAGAGGAATGAAAGTTATGTTTTTGCTGTTGGTGCCTTCTGTTACTTTGCCATGAAAAGGTCAGTCATCTGTCTAATTTATCATTTATTAATAGAGTAGAAAAATAAATAATAGGGCAAGATAGTGATGCAAATATAAATTAAGAAGGACTCAAGAAAAATGGTCATATTTTCCATGTAGAGGTACAGAGTTGGGCCGAATCCTGTAAAGAGAACAAGAAATGTTTTTCTGCTAGACTGAGTCCCTCCTAGGAGGGCTGCTTGCACAGACTGGGAAGTGCTAAGACACCATGCTCCAGTGGAGAGTTTTCTCAACGCTCATCCCCAGATTCACAGGTGATCTCAGTCACTCAGTGCAGATTGAACTTTTTCATTTGGTGTCAGATTGTGATCTCTGCACCTAATTAGGGTGATTTAAGTAACAGAGGAACGCTTCCCAGGTGACTCAGTGGTAAAGAATCAGCCTGCCAGTGCAGGAGACTCAAGAGACATGGGTTCAGTCCCTGGGTCAGGAAGATCCCCTGGAGTAGGAGATGGCAACCCATTCCAGTATTCTTGCTTGGACAATCCCATGGACAAAGGAGCCTGGCAGGCTACAGTCCGTGGGGCTGCAAAGAGCCAAACACGACTGAGGAACTGAGTGGTGGCGATTTAGTTGCTAAGTCGTGTCCAACTCTTGTGACCCCATGGACTCTTGTGACCTCGTGGATTTTTGTTTTCTCAAATTCTAAGTTTATTGGTTGTCCAGTGAACTATCTGAGTAGGTATCAATTATCAAGTACCTACTTGATAGGTACGTGATAAATGTATCAATACTTTGAAATCTTCGAAGTCAAGGGTAGTGTTAAAAATACTTAACAAGCTGCATGGTATAAGCATCAGCCATTACTAAACCTGGTTTCCCTCATGTTGGGTGAGGAGATATTTGAAAGAATTCTTCATTCTGAAAATACTTGTCTCCTAAACCTCATTTGAACTTTAAAGAATAGATATTTTCCTTGAGAAATAGAAAGACTTCAAGCAGTTGTTTTCTCCACCCTTAAATGAACTAAAACATAATAGCAAGAGAGGGCAGCTCATAGCAGTTCAGTTTGCCTAATGCTCATCAAAAGTGGATCCTTTTCAGGTGCTTAGAATGAACATACTTGGATGAAGTCAGTTCTTCCCCAAGTTCTCCCTTCTACTTAAGCAAATAACGTCAGACAGAATGTATTTTTGTTGGTGATGGACAGGGAGGTCTGGCGTGCTGCGATTCATGGGGTCGCAAAGAGTCGGACACGACTGAGTGACTGAACTGAACTGAACACAGGTTTATAGCTTCTTTCTCTTGGTCATAATCAAGATAATATTAGGGTTATTTTTTCTAAAGAAAGTTCTCTTCAGTTGCTAGATGTGTGATATTTAGTTGTAAAGACATGAAAATCCACAGTGTCCCAAGCTCTCATTAAGCAGACTGGCTGTGGCTGTCATCAATCAGGATGGGGTTGACGTGACCTTTTGAGGTCATCATTTTTGCTACCAAAATGTCACCAGATGGTTATTATTTCTAGTCTTGACAATGCATTTCATATGAGGTGAAATTTGTGGTGGTTTTATTGAAAAAGAAGCAAATGTAATTTTGAAAACAGGAAATTTGAGCAGTGGATCACAAAGAAACCCTGGGCTCTCAAGAGAGGTTTATTACATTTTTGTTTGTTGTTTTATTCCCTGAATAGCTAATATTGCCTTTAGTTTTTCCCTACAGCACCAAAAGCACCAAATTTTACCGATGTCTCTGCAGGATGCATTTTAAAAACCAACACTTGCTACCTCTTCTCTAGATGTTTCCATGTTATATAAGTACTGAAAATTTTCTTTAGGAAAGAAAATCAATATTTGTTTAGATATATATTAGAGAAATAGGTTAAAAAGTAAATGATGATGATTTTTGCCTATATTTATTTTCCTATATTTATTTCATTTTCTTGCAGAGAATCCCTTCTTTCTCTAAATTTCTGTCTGATCCTATGGTTTACTCAAATGATGTGAAGTGGACCAATGTCTTTTTTCCCTATTAGTTTCAAAGAAATAATGCAGTGTAATTGAGTTTAGGGTTTAGCATTGTTTCCAAAACAAATAAATGAGAAATAATACCAAGATAGATATTTCTAAAATATTTAGAATAATTTTAGAATCCTGGAAGGTGAAGCACTGACTACTTTTGATTTTGTTGTGTTTTGTTTCTTTAAATATTTTGTCAAACTTAAGTTGACTTGTCAAGGCCAATTTAAACCAACAAATATAGATGGATAGATAGATAGATATAGATAGATATACCATGAACTTCATTTTGCCAGGGAATAGTTCTGTCTGTGTGTATAGAAGATATATGCTGGTTTCCCCCCTTCATTCAGCTGGTAGACATATTTGAGCCTCTCTAGATGTGAGGCTCTCTTCTGGTTCTGGGGGATACGGTTTTGCAGGCAGTAGCTGTGGCTCCAGCCATCCTAGTTCACATGGAGTGGTGAGGGAGGAGGCTGACATTGCACAGCGCTCGAGGCATCCTTCTGTGATTGAGCATGTGGGTGGGAAACAGCACTGAGTTTTCTCCTTGTGCTGTGTGAACTTGGGAGCTCAGACTTCCACTGTGTCTCTACCTGTGGGCTTGGATCTGTCAGGAAGACACTGAGGACCAGAGGAAGCCAGATGAGGCTGATTTCTTGTCTGCTTCTCATCATCATAGAATTATGTTCAGATGCAAAGCACTCACTCTGAAGTATACCTTACATATGTAATTATATATATTTCCCTGGTGGCTCATATGGTAAATAAACTGCCTGTACTGCAGGAGATCCGGGTTCTGTCCCTGAGTTGGAAAGATCTCCTGGAGAAGGGCATGGCAACCCACTCCACTATTCTTGGCTGGGGAACCCCATGGACGGAGGAGCCTGGTGGGCCACGGTCCATGGGATCGGGAACAGTCAGACCCGACTGAGCAACTAACACACACACACACACACACACACAAACAAATTTGTGTGTGTGTGTGTGTTATGCATGCCTTGGAGATGGATTTACCTCTTTACTTTTCTTAGAAAAACAAAATCACAGGAATGGTTATTTTCTCTGAGTTTGACTGCCCTCCTATTAGCAGCTAACTACATTCTCAGTACCCCTCAGGCCAAACAAATAGCTGTTTCTTTTGTGTTCCAGGCACCCAGCAGAGATCTGGGTGTATAATGTATACCCAGTAAATTCTGAGTCATTGATTTGTTGATTGATTGACACTATAATCTGCTTACCTGAATGAGACTACAGCCAAAGCTATTAAAATACAGATATTACAGGGTCATTTTCTTTCTTTTTCCATTCAGATAATTGAATTTTTGTATCTAGGAAAAGGAAACTGTTTATTGTGATCAAAAGCAGGGCCACCTATCTTGTTATGCTGCCAAGGAGCCCTGTGACATCTGAGCCTCAGTTGCCACAAATGGAAAATGGGGTTAGTGTTAATTGCCTTCACAGTTTCCTACGAGGGCTTGGAAATAATCCACGTTCCTAGTTTAACATCTGGAACATAGAGGTTCCTCAAACAATGAGAGCTGGATAATATTGTTGTCATCATCTTCATGATAAGTGGTTCCCCCTAAGATAAGCATAAGTCAGTGATACCTTTACTCCGAGAAGGGGAAGGCCAGAGATGCGGAGCTTACAGCCCCCTTTTCAGTTTGCTGCACGATGATATTAAGGGACTTGATCTTGTATAGGTCCCCATCCGGGCCAAGTTCCTCCTGGATCCTGAAGAAGCTGCATCCCATCAAAATTCTTTGCCCTTTCTAAGAACACTTTGTCTCTTCTCGGGACCTTCCTATTGGGTCCACTGATAGGAAGTGTTCCAAACTTCACTGCCAGGAAGATATGGCCATTCGGAGGCATACAGCCTCC